TATAATGCTATTATATAGTGAACATCCAAAAATAAGTGTCTGTTTGAGTCCTTATTCTCAATTATTTTATGGATATACCTAGAAGTTGAATTGAATCGTATGGTAATTCTATGTTTAACTTCTTGGGGAACCACCTTTTGTTTTCTATGGGGGCCCCAGCATTTTACATTCACACCAGCAATGCACAGTATTTTTGATTTCTCAAAATCCTAATCAATGCATTTTCTGTGTTGTTGTTTGTTATTTTTCTTAAATATATGTAAAGACTGAATGTCTTATTGAGGTTTTGATTGGCACTTCTCTAATGTCTAGTGATGTTGATGTTTTCATTCTCTTATTGCATCTTTTCATTTGTTCATTGGCCATTTGTATTCCTTCTCTGGCAAGTGTCTATTCAAGTCCTTTGCTCATTTTTTCATTTGTTTGTTTTTTGTTAGTAAGTTGCAGTTTATTTAAATCTACCTCTGTATTTAACTCTGACTCCAACACTGTGACAAATAATTATCCAGAATAATTTAAAATTGTATTTTTAAAATAATCTTTAGTATAAAAAAGTTTTCCCATGAAAACAATATCCTTGTGATATGTTAATAAGTATGACTTATGTTATTAACCTAGAAAAGCACAGAAATTTAGGAGTATTTAAGTGGCTAGAACTGACCATATTGCACCTGTAACTTTCTTTTCTTTTTTTAAAATGCCATCTTACTTATGGTATTATAAAAGTAAATTTCAAACATAAAGTACATTATTAAGTGGGAGGTAGAACTCTAAACTAAAGTCTAGTTTCTCTCAGATCATTCATTAAAAGATTTAATAAGCATGATCTATATGCAAGCATTGATGACTACTGTCACTATATAAAATACTACCACTATTTGTAAGCTTCATCTTCTATATTATTGACCTTGAGAAGCCTGATAATTATATGGAAATCACTATGATCACTTTATCTTAAAAAGGAAAAGAAAAAATATGACATTAAATTGGAAGAAATGTATTCAAAATACTTAGAAACACAATCTTCTAAATTATCATCAATGTTATGTTCAGTTTTTTTGGTTAGAGAAAATGAAAAATGTAAAATTATGGGTGTCCTTATGGACTCCTATCCAGCTAAACCCATTTCAATAATGAAAATCATATGTTCCTCGTTCGTTGTAATCTCCCAAATTGAGAGACCAGATCAATATAAGGGATTCTTCTGTACCTGGTGAACTAACTGAAACATACAACAAAAGTTCAGAACTTCAAGTAATTTTTCCCCCAACTTTCTTTGTAAGAATATCAAATTTAATATACACTCTAAATGCTATTGATGGTGAATAAACACTTTCAATGCTATCAATGGTGAATAAAAGCTGTTTTGTAAAGCTACGAAAAAATTTAAATATACTCTTTTTATTGATGATGAAGAGGAAAAGCATGAGTGGCAGAAAATAAAACTTCTCTTTAAAATGTTTCGGAAGCTACTAATAATATAATATCTCTAGTAGAACTTTCTGTTCTATAACTTCACCTCAGCAATTACAATAATAACCACAAAAGATAATAATGACTATTGTGGTTGATATTTGTTGAGAGCTTTTGTAGAACACATAGCATCATTTACTATGCCTATGAAAGGTTTCTCATTTTAAGATAGGGAAACTGAGGTTCAGAAGGGTTAAATAATTCATATGATGTCAAACAGCTAGTAAATGGCAGAACCAGTACTTGATCTATAACATGTCTGACTCCAATATAATGTAACAATACTTCATATTCCCAGGGGAATAATGATGCAGCTAACTGCAGACTTCTCATCAGAAATAATGGAGGTCAAAAGAAAATGGCAGGTCACGTATATAGTGTTGAAAGAAGACAAAACAGTAATAAAACTTTCTCGACCCAGAATCCTATATCCAGTGAGAATATCCTTCAAAAAGAATGGTGAAATAAATAGATTTCATGAGGAAAAGTTAAGAGAATTAATCACTAGTAGCTTCACAAAGGAAGTTTCTACAGGCTGTATTTTTGACACCACTTAAAAATATAAATCTTCAGAAAGGAATGAAAAACACCACAAATAGTAAATAGGCAGGTAAATAAAAATTGATAGTCCTCCCAAGAGCAAATAAAATGATCTTCCCCCTGAATATCTCTAAAGCACATATTTTAAAGCAAAAACTATAACTTTTCCATTTAGAATTTATATGTAGATGTAATATTTAAAACAAAGCATAAAAGAGTGTTGGTAAATGAGCCTACATATGGTTAAAAATGCCTTATATTTTTGTTAAGTATTTAACATATAACATTTATTTTGTGCCATTTTACAAAAAAGGTTGCTGATCCCCTAAATTAAGCAGCCACTTATAATAATGAGAAGAAATACAACTAAATAGTCAATATATAAATTAAAATAGAATGCTTAAAATTCTTTGTTGCCAACAGAAGGCATTGGACAACAACAAAAAGGACACTAAGAAAATAAAATCATAAAATGGTAGATCTAAATCCAATTATGATAATAGTTACACTAAATGGAAATGGATTAAACACTAATTAAAAGGCAGAGATTGCCAGAATGAATAAAAAAAGCAAGTTAAAACTTTAAGATATTCAATTAAAATATCAAGACACAAGCAGACTGAAAGTAAATTAATAGGAAGGGTATGCCATATAAATGGCAAGAATAAGAAGGCTGGAGAGACTATATATTAATATCAATGAAAAATTTCTAAATGAACATATTATCTTTATTTATTCATTTATTTTTGAGAGGTTTTTGCTATAGGGTGGTGCGTGCACTCACTAGACAGACAGAGAGAGACAGAGAGATAGAAAGTGAGAAATCACTCCTCAGGGGAGATAGCCATGCCCCCATCCCGCCATCCCTTCTCCTCCATTGTCCTCTCGGGATCTTGGGCACACATGCACCCAGCGTGAGTTTAAGGCACCGGGTCTGGGACTCAAACTGTGGTCGACTACATGGAAGTCCAGTGACATAGCCATTACACTAACTGCTGATCCCTAAATGAACAACTTATCAAGAGTGAAAATTATTACCAGAGGTAAAAGGGAAAATTTTATGATAAATAAGTTGATCAGGAACATGTAATAATCATAAATGTAAATCACAAACTTTCAAAATATGTGAAGCAAAAATTTGACAGTATTGGGAGAAACAGAGAAGAGCCAAATCATAGTTGGAGTTTTTTATGTCCTTATCTCATTAATTTATAGAATATCTAGGTTAAAAAATCAGTGATGTACAAATTGTTATAGTTTTATATGATTTAGGAAATTAAACCAGTGACCTGGGCATTACTATCCTTACAACACAGTGAACTATGGTCTTTTTTTCTTATTTTTCTCTTTGAGTCCGATTTATTTGTATATGGAAGGCAAGTACAGGAAACAGTCTTGGCCTATATACAAATATACTTTTACTGATTAGCAGAGCCTCGAGAGTACTATAGTATTACCTGTTTTCATTTAATACCTGACTTTAAAATTATGGCATTTTAGAAATGGAGAGGAGTATTAGAGATCTAATAGCATGATCCAGAGAGCTAACCAATTGAACTAGGTTAGAGGGTTTTCAGGAGCATACACTAGAATGAAAGTCAATCTGACCTCCAATATATCTTTCTACCATACAGCACTATCTGCTGGTTGACAGGGCATGAATGACTGGACATAATAAGACTATTCTGAAGAAGAAAATGAATTTTGGGGGGCTATTCTGTTCTCCCCACCCCACTGATTATTCCTAGCTTTCCCAAGTTCTTAGATTGTATAGGTATAGAGCTAAGTAAACTTCAATAATTACTATAGACATAATTTAACATCCCAACCAAGTCATCCCCTAAGGTAACTTTAATCTTCTGGTAGTCTATGAGACTTGCTTGCTGTAAGCTAAGGTTACAAAATGATTCTAGTATCCTTTATTTGATTGAGAAAGTTAAATAACAAATATCACATTTATCCAGGCATACCTGATAGGCTGAAAATAAAGATAAAATTCTAAGGAATGTCAATGATGTAAAAAATGAGTGAGTGATTTTATTTCTCTGGGACTCCATTTTTTTTTAATGAGCAAAAATAAACTTGATGAGTTTCAGATTTTTCCATTCATTTTAGCAAGTTAGCTTTGTCTACAGTGTAATAAAGTGGTTGGAATCTATAGGAACACCATTTACATTGATATAAGAGAAACTCGGGTGATGAATATTAATACCAAAGGAATTAGTATTATTCTCCTTTGAGAATGACTTCAATTAATAATATAATGTCACAGACAAGTTCTTTCCCTGGATGCATTTTTTTTTTTTTTTTTTTTTTTATCTTTTAGGTCACTGATATTTTAGGTTTGGTCATTGTCAAATACAATGCTACTGTGGAAAATAACAGGCAGGGGGCAGCAGATTTCAAAGACCAGCAAACTAAATGCAGTGACAGTGACAATTACTATAGCAGCTACAAGCTTTTTTATACTATCCTTTTCTGACTCCTTAGGTACAATCTATTTGTACTATCTCTTTTTATAACTTTAGATCATACATATACATATATACGACAAATCAAAATGTCATCATTATAATTACGCCTTCAAATGGAAGTAATTAATGTCTAGTGTTTTATATCAATAGTACAAAAAATTCTTTATAGAGTAGTGTCATGGGAAGACATGATGACACACACAGTGTCACACATTCTAGAATCTAAAAAGCATTAAAGTTGAATTCAGAGGAAACTAGGCAAGATATTTCAAAAAAGTTTCTTATTGTGTTAGCTTCATTAGTGCCTCATATTTACATTTCACACCATTTTATTCTGATTGGGTTTTATTGAAAAGCTTATTTATCATAGTTACAGTGAAGTAGAATAAGTCATCATCAGTTTATAGAGAGGTAAGACCAAGACCTAGAATGGGTAAGCTACTTCCTCAAATAAAACAACAACCTAATCATTAAAGGAGGAAACAAACTTGTATTCTCTTAGTCTAACCTACTAAATACAAACAACAGTTGTGCCAGAGAATAAAGCAAGTAAAGAGAATCATTTTATAATGTATATATATTTATCAAAATGTCACATTGTACACTGTAAATATATTTAGTTTTTATTCATTTAAAAAAAAAAACTGAAATGCTGTTTAAGCTCCCCCTAGCTCCCCAAAAGGGGGATAAAAATTGTTCTTCATAGTCTGATTATTTTTTAATTACTTACTGGTTTGCCTTGAATTCCTTTCTCTCCAGGGTTTCCAGTCTTACCCTATACAAGAAAGAAAATGCTTGAGTCAAGTAGTCTCCTTCCAAAATGTTAAACATACACTAAGCAAAACAGGGAAGATTTTCAATGTTAACCTTTAAATGAAATGTTTCATTACTTACAATAAGACCATGAGGCCCTCTTTTTCCTTGATCTCCCTTTTCACCCTAAGAAAATATCAGTTCCAGATGAGTTAAAAAGAATGTGAATTATTATCTTACACATATTAGCATATACTCACATACAAAAAAAAAATCAGTATATTCCGATAGCACAATATTGAAAAGAAAACACCTCTGTGAAATAAAAACTTGATGTACATTTCATACGGAGACTAAGAGAAAATTTAGAACCACACTTTTGTAAGGAAATACATCATTTTCTTAGACAGGCAGGTCATACGAGTTCAATAAAAATAAACTGCATATGAAATGAGGAAATTAGTAATTACCTTGGCACCTTGTACACCTTGTTCCCCTGAGAGACCATCTGGTCCTCTTGGTCCCTAGAGGTGGAGCAAATATCCTGTTGTTAATTTGAATTCTTCCTTCTTTTCTTTCTTTCTTTCTTTTTTTTTTTTTCTCTGTTATATGACTTTGCAGCCAAAGACATTGTGCCCTTCTTCAGTTGACAAACTCCTTCTGATTGGTTTTATACTCTGACCGTAGAAGAGAATACAACTGGGTATAAAGCTGAGTTTGTCTACATGGGAGAATCAAGCCAGTGTCTTCAAGATTTAATATCAAATAGTAAATCAGATGGCCACAAAAACAGCGAATTTAGTTGTTGTGGTGACGTAATATAGGTTTTTTTAATCTGAATATTTTGTTGATTTCATCATTTACTCAGCAGCAAGCCAGGATCTATTCTAAAAACAACTTTAAATTATCTTTATAGTGGCCTGTTTGTTTGTTTGAACAGACTTTTAAAATTTCATAATTTTGAAATGGAATTCTTCTCTTTACATTACAGAAAAAGACTGCTGATTGCATTGTACCTAATATGCACCTACTTGACAATAGTTACTGGGAGATGGCAGAGCACAGAAAAGGGACAAAAAGTGCTACTTGAAACATTCATGTAAACTTAAAACATCTCACTATTTATCCAATAACTCACTTTGAAAAAGCATTAACTGCAGAAGTCATTCTCAGATTGATAGAATAGTCTCTCAGCCTAAACTATAACTTTACTTGGAAGATCCTAAGGTCCTTTTAAAGAAATTTAATTCGATCCTACAGACTCTTATTGAAAACTCACTTTGAAGAAGGAATTATATTTAAGTATTACAGGGAAACATAATTATGAGATAGTTTCTTTCTCCATTATGAAGCTTGTAGATTGAAAAGGTAAATTATACACATAATTATAATAAGGCACAACAAGGGTCAAAAGGAGGATTCAAAATAAGGAGACACAGTCCACATGTTTGTAATGGGAATGAAGGTATTAATACATTATATGGCAGTTAGAGGTTGCTATGGTTTGTACGGGTCCTTCATGAATAGTTTAATAGATCTCAGTTCCCCTAATTAGTTCCTGTGAGGGTGGATTGTTATAAAACCAAGTATGGTGACCTTTGGTCTCTCTCTATCCCTCTCTGGATGTACTTGTTTTCCTTTCCAGTCTTCTCGGTCATGCTATGCCATGGCCAAAGGCTGGAGAGGTGCCAGTCTCATGCCCTTGAATTTTCACTTGAATTGTAAGCCAAATAAACCTCTTTTCTTTATAAATAATCTAGTGTCAGGTATTTATGTTATAGCAACTATAACGGAACAAGACAGAGGTCAAGGCCTCAGAGACTAACTCAAAAATAGAAGAAATTCTACGTAGAGGGATAGTGTGAGAAGAATGTGCACAGGCATAAAAGAACATATTTAAAAAGTAATTTGTTTGGCTAGGCTATTGATTATATGTTCAAAACTATTAAGAAATAAGTGTGTGGGGAAAATAGACTTAAAAGGTGCAAAACTAGAGTTTATATTTAAATCAGTTAGCAGTGAAGAAGCACTGAAATATTTGTACAGAACAGCGAAACAGATATCCTGACACAACATGCTGATGTGAAGGTACACCCTAGGCTCTCTCAGTAGGTTTGAAGATAACTGCTCCAAACTTGTGGTTGGTTACCCAGATTTATATAATGGATTTGGCTTAGGAATGATCAACTACAATGAAGCAGGTATCTCTAAGCCTAGTGAGAGAAGTCATTCTAGGTTTAATGGCAGCAACCATAAGGGTAAAGACACAGAGATTTAAGATTAGAATAAAAAAAAAAGGGTTTGTCCAAAGATGGCAAATAACTTTCATTTCTTGGATAAAATGAGAATTAAATGACCACCTACATATAAGTTTAAAAAGCCTGCATCTAGCTGAGGATAAAAGTGTTATAATTAATTATTAGCTCCTTGTGTTGGCACATAAATTAACTACTGCCATGGCTAAACTATTGGGTCACTAGGAAAATCATGATATATCTTTTTTCTATGTTTTTCTACACAAAAATGCGTCATGACTTTTCTGACAATTCAATAGCTTAAATCCTTATCTTTAAGATGAAGAAACTCACGTCTGTAGACATTAGGTGAGTTGCCTGATTTTCATGATATCTAAATGCTCAAAGACTTAAAATAATTGCCTTATTAAGGCAATTTTTTACAAATGTTAAAAAGAAATAAGGAGTAATTCTATTAGCAAGTAAATTCAGGATGGAAGAGAAGATCCAAAATCTAAAAGAGGTTTACAAAATCAATATTAAACATTGAAAGTAAGGTGCTGATTGCTTTTGCACTTGGAAGAAACTTTTTTCAAAATTAAATAATATATATATAGTAATGATAGCCACTAATTTTTAAATGTTTTGCATTAAAAAAACCTTTCTGCTTAAAAATATTGCTTTCACACGGAGTCAGGTGGTGGTGCAGTGGTAATGTAATATGCTGTGATGCTGACCTACATAGGAGGGTCCTGAGTTCCCATTCTGAGGGTTCCTGCACACATCACATGTGCTGGAATGCAAGCACATGTGAGCACATGCTTGTGATCTGGGCTGGCTGAGGCTGGGGGGTGGATCACGGTGTTGAAGACCCTGTTGGGAGATGCCTGATCTTCTCTTTCTCCATCTGTCTGTCTCTCTCTCATGGAAGAAATAAATAAACAAAAAAAAATTAAAGGCTTCTACATGCATTATTTCATTTGCTAAGCCAGTTTTATACAGGGAACAAAAAAGAAGTCTCTCTGCCTACAGTGATGATAAAAGAATACTGCATTTAGCTTAAAAAAAAAAGTCTAAGTAATGCAATGACATTGATTGAAGGCTATATAAAGCCTCAGGTTGCTAGTTAAGAATTTAAGTCTGGCAGAACTCTATGAAAGGTTAATCCTTTTTATGCTTCGGGTAAAAGTAAAATAATTAACAAAAATCTTGCATTTGTGTACATACTTGACTCTTAAAATAAGCTTTCGGACAGGCTCTAAGAAAGTTAGACAAATAGCATAACAGTATGCACTAAAGTGAACATTAAATTATTTTTCTAAACAATTGCTTTAAAAGGTATTATAGAAGGCCAGTAGTAATATGCTACTCAAGAGAAGCAGGACCCAACATAGTAATCATGGTTCCAATCCCTGGCTCAGTCAGCCTGAAACATGCCAGGCGCTCACACAAGTGCTTGAGAGCCAATGAATGGGCTGCAGGACTGAATAAAGGGGACCTCAGCATAACCAGACCCTGTGGAGGTGCTCATCTCTTCCTCTCTCCTGTGCATGTGTATATGCTCTATCATAGAAAAATAAATATATAAATTCATGGATACCCTTTGAAGACTGTATGTTGGCTAAAGCTGCCTTGTGTGGCCCCCAAAACATGCTGCCCTGACCAATGGTTTTGGAGACATATAGATCCCGTGTAAATGGAGGCCATCAGTGGCTTAGACACAATCCCTAGATATTGAAGCCAGATGACTATCTCCCCAAATTCCTGGATGTCAATATCAACTTAATTCTACATGCATTAGATGATTGGTGACAGGACCATCACTTCTAATAAATGCTAAAGTTTAAAGAAAAACTACAACTAAAATCTGAACATAAGTTGTATTTTAGTTTATAGGAAGACATCTATGAGAGCTCCAAGCCCAATTATATGGTCCCTGTAATCAATTTTTTTTTTTTGAGAGGTTTTTGGTATAGGGTGCATGTGCTCGCCAGAAAGACAGAGAGAGAAAGTGAGAAAGCACTCCCTGGGTGGGGGAGGGGTGTGGCCACACTGTAATCCCTTCTCTTCCATTCTCCTCTTGGGATCTTGGGCATGCACGTACACGCATCCCTTGTGAGCTTAAGCCACCGGGTCCAGGACTAGAACTGCGGTTGACTACATGGGAGTCAAGCACATAGCCATTACGCCAACTGCTGATCCCCCCCTGTAATAAATTTTAATAGGCTAAGAATCTATGAATGGAGGAAACACCCCTTGTAGAACAAATGCCTTTGTAACTTGGACTCAGTATACTCTTTATTTCCTTTCAACTAAATCTCTGCCTGTGTTTCATTCCTCTATTAATTTTGAAACACTCATGCCTACTTATACCCAGCAGTTGTTTCTTGTTCTTGATTTACATAGCTGGAATGAAATGTTCCATAAAACAAAAACTAACATTAATGGTGACAGGAGGAATGCTGTTTGTTACAAGCTTTATTTTAGGAGAAGAAACCACAGAAGAAGCTGTACCTTATCATGTGATGTGTTCTAGTTATTATTGGCATTGAATCTAAATGCAGGTACTGATGGCTGTTTTCCCCAATATGGTATAGCATTTCCTGAAAGGAGCCAAAATTCAGAACTTTTATAGTCATATCCATATCACTTCTTCTATAGAGAACCTTAAACTATTATATGTTTATAATATTCTACTCTTTCCTTCATTTAAATCTTATGCAGAATGTTCAAAATAAAGTTACACAACTATACATGTCTAAATCACCACTCTAGAGAAAGACTGCAAGACTTAAAGGTGGCTCAATTCAAGAGAAAGAGAGATGAGGTTAACTTCATTCTATGTGTCATTTGTCCCACCCTGGCAGCTAGACACAGAGGTATACTTTGGAGAGACACCAAGGGATCAGTTCCCTAGCCTTAAAATGTTAGAAGTGTTTATGAGGAACAAGAGCTGAGGATGTACTGATTCCTAGTCAACCAACAGGCTAAGTCACTATGTTTCTGACATTGGAGTGGACAGTATGCCAGCTTATACTGTCTACACATGGGACATGATTTTCTGTACTATATTAACTATGTTTGGTATATTAAATCACTTCACTCCAATAACAATTCTTCAGCTAACCACGACAGATGAAAGCAAAGCTTAGAGAATAGAGGATAAGTAATACAGTATTCCCTTCCTTATCCATGAGGGATGTGTTCCAAGACTGAGTGACCCTGAAACCATGGATAGTACCCAACTGTATATATGCTGTTTTTCCCATACATACATATCTATGATAAAGCTTAATTTATAAATTAGGCATAGTAATAGCAACTAATAATAAAATAGAATAATTATAACAATATACCACAATAAAAGGTATGTGAATGTAATCTTTCTCTCTCAAAACATCTTACTGAACTGTACTCATCCAGTTTAGGATCGTGGTTGACTACAAGTAACTGAAACCATGGAAAGTGAAAATACCTAAGAGAAGGCTGCTGTATTGTTTGATAACAGTATAAACCAGACAGAACAGTAAGAGAGTATGAGCACTAGTTCTATAATGATAGTCTTCTGTGAGACTTTGGTGCAAATGTGCCTAGGGCAGAGCTTCTCAGTAACCTGTGACACATGTGTTCCACAGAGAGATTACTGGAGTGCTGGAAATTTTTACCCCCTTAGCCTTTCAGGTGGCAGGAAAAGGTTGGGCATGAGAATCCCCAGCCTGATATCTTGTCTGTTTGAATAGAAAATATTTGGGTTGGACAAATTTACTCTCTGTTTTTCTTTTTTTTTTTTTATTTTTGAGTAAAAAGAAAAGAATTGGGAAGGATGAGTCTAGGTTTTGAGATCACAGCTACAGTGAAAGATGAGTTGAATAGAGAAGAGAGTAGAAATAGTAAAATACCAGCTGGTTATCATAATAGGACTTCCTAATACTAAATTTTCTCAAATATTCTGGTCTTCACTTATTATTTTTTGTGTGCTCCTAGCATCCACTGATTGGCTGAAATAGTCTCCTAGAAAAGAAAGCTTCACCACAAACTTCTTCTACCCTTATTTCTAAACAAACTTTCCTTGAAAGATATGAAAACTTTTTTTTTTAATTATGAGGAACTATTTTTGAAGAAAATTAGTAATGTATGTCTAGAGAAGAAGAAAATAGATGCTTAGAGAGGTGGGAACTGAGGACAAAATGACAAATCAGGAAAGAGCAGCCGTCTATATGGGATCGTGGAGAGCTTAGAGAACTGTAGATCAGATGAGCTAACCTATGACTTAGGAGCTAGCGCAAGTGACTCAAGAAAAGATCATGCTCAGGTCCACGGCTTCTGTCTGGGTGATCAAGAAGAGCTGAATTACTTAATTAACACAGGGCACAAATACGTATTTCTTCTCTTTTTCACTTGTCACAAAGCTGGTTGAACTTTCCCACAATGACTAATACAGAGCTAGATAAACACATTTGACCTGATCAATGACTGAATCAGCTGGCAAGGTATAAACCACTGACAGTTGAGTACAGATCATACCATCATTTTTTATTGTATTTTAAATTTCATTTGGGCTAAAATAGATGTAGTCATCAAGGTTATTTATGTGCTATAAATCTTCAGTCCAGAAAGAAAAAGTTTTTCAGAAATGAAAAAATAATAAAGACAAATCTGTTCTCTTTATTCAATCTTCACCTAAAACACAGGATGTGAAATTAAAGCTGTTATTCCAAACCGAGGAATCATAACACTCCTTTCCCACTTGCCAACTGGAGAACTGCAGTATTTTTTTTCAATGTTTATTTGTTAGAAGACATGTTTTTAGAATTTTTAAATATTTTCTTCATAGCTATAAATTTAAAACAAGGTAAGGCAAAGGAACAAATGGTTCTCCTAACTTGGGGGTTCAAGGTAATTAAGGAAAAATATCCACTATCAGTCTACATGGCATCAAATACAAATAACTTTTGGAGTCAGATACACCAAGGTTTGAATATTGGTTATGCTGTTTCTCTGCATGTTCACAGCTAGATACTGAAACTTGGAGCCCCAGTTTCTGCCGTTACAATATCTAAGATATGATACCTCTCCCTCTTAGAGTAGTTCTGAGTATTGCATAAGATAATACATATAAAAGCACCTGGTAATGTGACAGGCATGTAACAGGCATGTAACAAATGGTGACTTATTTCTTTAGAGAACAAAACGTTTGTGACCAGCAGATGGCATAATGGTTATGTCACTGGACTTTCACATAGTCAACCATAGTTCAAGTCTAAGGTATGGTGGCTTATGACTCATGCTGGGCACATATGTGTGTGTGCCCAAAATCTGAGAGGAGAATGGAAGAGAAGGGATTGAAGCATGCCATCCCCTCCAAGGGGTGATTTCTCACTTTCTGTCTCTGTCTGGTATTGCATATACCCTATAACAAAAATCTCTTTTAAGAAAAAAGGAAAGAAAGGATTTAATGTTTAACAGAGAACTTAAAGAGATAATTTTTCACTTAATTCTGTATACCTAATTATTAGATAATGAGAATTATACCTCTAATTTACAATTTTTAAACTCATTCATCCTGTGTATCTTCGTTTCTCACTGCTCTTAGTTTGTTGTGATGTTACTTTTCCTTGCTATATAAGTCTGCTCTGAGTGAAAACATAATTTATTTAAAAATCTTTACACTGGGCCAGCCAGTGGCATGGCAGGTAAAGCAGCTGGATCTCACATGGCCAACTGTGTAGTTCGAGTCTCAGACTCCACAGGTTGAAAAAAAAAGCTGGGTGTGTTTCATACATGCCCAAAATCCTAACAGGAGAAAGGACTGCTGTTAGCTACCCCCTCTGGGGGAGGCGCTTTTTCACTTTCTCTCTGTGTTCTCCCCAGTGAACATATGCACCCTACAGCAAGTAAAAACTAAAAAAAAATAAAAAATAAACACGTTTACATTCACAATTTCCCCAAAGAATGGAATTGGAGGTCAGAAATAAAGAAAGATTTTATGGGAATTAGTGATATATGTAAAAGTTAAAATGGAAAAATCTGATTTTGTAAGTACAAATGATCATGAATCATATTCCACTTAATGTAGATAGTTTATTCAGTATAATGAAAACAAGGGAAAGTCCCAACAATACCTAAATACAATTTTAGAAGGTATGGCGCCTTTTTTGCTGAACACTTGTCACTGTTTATGAAGTGATTTTTTTTTTTTAGGTTAATACACTTTTTAAATTAGATTACTTACTCTTTGTCCTTTAGGACCTTGACTTCCGGGTGGTCCTCTCACCCCCACAAGACCCTACATATTGCAAATTTAAAAATTAGTTATAGAATTCACAGGGATGTTAGTAGACTAGTAATCATAACATTTTATGATATAGGTAATTCTGTTGGGGTTCTTAAAACTGATTAGCATCCTTTAAAATATACTTTAATTATCAAATATCATACTTATATTCTGCTTTTGAAATATTTTTCTATTTGGAAAAATGTTATTTGTAGGCATTTACACCCTGAACAAAGAATGGGAAACTTTTAATGTCCACTGACTGAGTAATTTTCAGAAGGAACATATATGGAGTAATAGAGGAAAGAAACACCCACTTAGCCAGTGAGACCAAGCTAATTTGCAGGTTTTCCTAATTTTAGAAGCCAACAACATACTCATGAATACATTGAAAAGTCAGGCTTATAAAACAGTCTCCCCAAAACCTAGTACAAAGTATTTCTGACAAGAAAAGGCTCAGAGATCCTAAAGCCTGACCTTTTTAAAATTCAAATTCACAATAACTGTCAAATTTTGATAAATAAAATGTATCTCTTTAGGGACAAAATTTCATTATCTTTCTGTAAACAATGAATTGAGTCTTTTCAAATCTCAATATTTTCCATTAGTTTTATCTAGTTGTTTGAGATTATTTGCAGATTTGTAAGGAAAATATGTTAGAATTTATGCCTATGATTTGCTTATCTGATTGGTCTTACTTTTAATCTTGATTTCTGACACTGTTGTCTTATAAGTGGTTATTTAAAAGAAAGTTTCAAAGTCTATTAGTTTAGGTTGCAGAATTGAAATTTGTTAATACACTAAATGGAGTGAAGAAGCTGACGTTACAGTGACTTATTCCAAAGTGTTTTGTATAGTTTGGCAGAAAAGCAGTTTACACTAGTTTACACTTATTTACAATTGTAACTTATTTTACATTTGTGACTAACTTTGCATAAAATAAAAATAAACCGCATCACAAAAGTGATAGATTTAAATTAAAAGAGTTCTAGAAGAAGGTATAAATTGTTTTCTGTACTTACAGGTAATCCCAATGGACCCATGGGTCCTGGAACTCCAGGAGGACCTGGATATCCCTATGATATGAGTACAAGATGAAAGACATAAGATCACCATTGAATTTAATTATTTTCATTGAAAACCAACTAGTAAATTATAATAGTAATAAAAAGGGATAATTTGATAAAACCTCCCTCTTCTATCTAAAATATAGGAAGCTATAGGAAATACTCTGCAGATAGACCATAGAAATAAAAAACATGTTTACATAGAAGTTGCATATCCATTTATTAGAAGCTCTTTGCCTAACAAAGAGAATTAGTTGCTAGAATCATATATTATTTTTATAGTGCATTGAGAAGAGAACATTCATTTCATCTGCCAATTGGGTTATGTTGTACATGGGTGTAAGTTATGTAAGTGATTGGGCTGTCAGAAAAGTCATGACACATTTTTGCATAGAAAACATAGAAAAATATGTCATGACTTTTCTGATGATCCAATAGATTATGAAACTATATCCATTTCAGGGAGGTCAGGGAATACTGTAATTAAAAAATATGAAAGGGTAAAAATATTACAAACTGTCAAATTTTAGAAGGACCACACACTTTTAAGTTATTATCACTAATTCAGTTTTAAATTTAGTATTATCAGTAAAGATCATTCCTGGGAGGCTAGCAGGTGGTGTTGTGGTTGAGGTGCTGGACTCCTACATAGCTACCCATGGTTCAAGTTCCAGACCCGGTGGCTTCCTCTCTCTCTTTCTGGTATATAAGCCCTATAGCAAATAATAATGATAAGAATAATGATAATAAATAAAATTAAACAAATAATTCTAAAAAAAGAGAGAGAATTTCTGAAACTGATTAGCCTTATGGGTATGTTAAATTTTCTAGCTCATAGTAACTGAAGATAGATATATTTTATAAGGGGGCCAGACAGTGGCATGGTGATTAAGGTGCCTGGAGACCACATAGTTGACTATGTGGTTTGAGTCCCAGACCTGGTGGTCTGAAACACACACCACGTGCGTGTGTGTGCACATGCCCAAGATCCTGAGAGAGAAAGGGAGGAGAAGGAACTGGAGAATTGCCATCCTCCTCGGGGTGTGCTTCCTCACTTTCCCTCTGTGTTTGTCTCTCTGTAGTGACTGCACATGACCCATAGCAAAATTTAAAAAGAATAACAACAACAACAAACCCAACCCCCCCAAAGAAAAACACACCAAAAACACCAAAAAGCAGAAATACACACACAAAACTTATAGAGCTTTACTGATAATACTAAATTTAAAACTAAATACTTAGGTAAAATGAATTTGTTGACAGCATTATGTATCATGAGACCCATCACAATATATTTTCTGAAAGAAATATTCTTTTACTGATAATAATTGTTCTAGTCTGTTACACTTACAAACTGTTTAGTGAACTAACAAAATGCAACCCAGAGATATTATTTGTCAGCTATTACTATCTGTAAGAGAGTTAGATGAATTCTGGGTTCTGAAGGTTTTTGTTTTTGTTTATAATTTTTGTTATAGGGCATGTGAACTCACAGGAGACAGAGACAGAGAGAGAGAGAAAGGGAGGGTTATGGCCTGGAGGGTTATGGCCACACCACAACCCCTTCTCCTCCATTCCCCTCTTGAGATTTTGGGCATGTATGCACATGCACCTGGCATGTTTCTCAAGCTGCTGAGTCTGGGACTCGAATTGTGCAGTTGGTCGTGTGGGATCCTGCTGCCTTAATATCCACCTGCTGGCTTAGTCCAGAGATCTTATATGTCAGGAAATTACATATGACTACAAACAAATGGGAGAGTGGCAAAGGTAACATGTGCCATATAAACTACAAGTTGTAGGAGAATAGGCTAAATTCAAATTGAATTTTCTTTTTCATCCACTTCAGCTAATTTATGGTGGTTTAATTCTTTTAACACCGAAAGTGTGCTATAAAGCCATTTCATGGGAGTGTTTTTAAGTGCCATATTCCATTACGGAAGATAAGCTACTTAAGAAAATTTAAATAAAAATTTATTATAAAATAGTGCTTTTTACTTACTTAAATTCCAGTCAAGGTAATTTCACTTCTGGGATACCTTAACTTTATTATGTTGTTTGGAAAAATGTTTTCAAATCACTGAGCTCTTACCATAACACCCTTTTCTCCTTGGGGACCTAGTGGACCTGGACTTCCACGTTCTCCCTTTTAAAACAGCAAAGAAAACAGAGTAACATTGGACTGTGTTAATTAATCATGATCAAGCTAAGCCTAAAAACCATGTTGTCAGTCAGAATCATACTTTACATGCTGATCTCATCTTACGAGCCAAAGATTTTTTTTTTTTTTTGGGGAGGGTCTCGCTTTTTACTTACTTAAATTCCAGTCAAGGTAATTTCACTTCTGGGATACCTTAACTTTATTATGTTGTTTGGAAAAATGTTTTCAAATCACTGAGCTCTTACCATAACACCCTTTTCTCCTTGGGGACCTAGTGGACCTGGACTTCCACGTTCTCCCTTTTAAAACAGCAAAGAAAACAGAGTAACATTGGACTGTGTTAATTAATCATGATCAAGCTAAGCCTAAAAACCATGTTGTCAGTCAGAATCATACTTTACATGCTGATCTCATCTTACGAGCCAAAGATTTTTTTTTTTTTTTGGAGAGGTTCTTGCTATAGGGCACATGCACTTGTCAGACAGAGACAGACAGAGAGACAGAAAGAGAGAAATCACCCCCCAGGGGGGATGGCCATGCCACAATCCCTTCTCCTCCATTCTCCTCTCGGGATCTTGGGCACGCACACACACGTGCCCGGCGTGAGTTTAAGCCACCGGGTCCGGGACTCAAATCGCAGTCGACTATGTGGGAGTCCAGCAACATAGCCATTACGCTAACTGCTGGTCCCACTAGCCAAAGATTTTTAAACTGACAAATTTTATATTTTTATCCTAAAATTGCTAGACTTATAACACAATAATAATACTAAGATTTTTTTAAAGAAAAAAATACTTAAAGTCTTATTAAAGTGAAGAAAATAGAAAATATAGGTAAACAAGACTTAAAATTGAGCATATAGTATATATTAAAGTTTTTAAGTGGAAATGCTTACAATTTTAGGAGACATACAAACTATGAAAATAATGAAAGTATCAAAGAATATTTAAAAATTAACTATCATACATAACCATTGAAAAAAATATTATAATCTATCTACCACAGTTAAGTGCCACAGAAATAATTTCAGAGAATCATGATAATTGAATCTGCCATAGCAAGTTAAAAGAACTAAACTGATTCACATTAAAATTTCCAAGATTGTCAAATTCTTAGCATAGAAGAAAGAATCTGGGATGGAAGGAACTAAATCAGCATGGAAAAAATTATTCAAAAAGTATATACTAAACACTCTTAATATACTGAATGTATTAGAAGAGATCTAAAAGAAACTTAGATTCTACCCTTAAGTATCTGCAGACATGGTATTAACAGAGATGAAACAATTAGAGGAACATTAAATTATATTTTTTAAAAAGAATTATTTATTTATTTAATTCCATTTGTTATTGTATTTATTTATTTATTTTTTTATTTGACCACCAGAGAGAGAGAAAGAGAGAAAGGAAAAGTGAGAAAACAAGCCACCAGGTCCCAGACTTGAACCATGGTTGGTCATATGGGAATCCAGTGCCCTTATCCATCACACCACCTGCTGGCCCTGGGACATTACATTTTAAAGTGTGTGGTACTTATCCCATGTCCAGGAAAGGAAAAAATCAGGAAGGACTTAAAGGAGTCTGGAGAGACTTCACACAGAGGAGATGGGAATTAGCTGAATCTATTAGTTTGGGTTTGAACAGAGGCAAGTAAAGATCCAGAAAACAGTAAGAATGGGAATAGAAACAAGTATATAATATGTGAGACAAGAAAGAAAGAATGGTAAAATGATAATTTATTCTTCTTTTTAAAAACTACTTCTTATCAGTGATTGCTCTCATAAAGTATATTTAAATAATAATCTATAGTTGTAAGCTTAGACTATCAGTTTTATCTTTTCTTTTCAGATCATGTCTTTAAAACCAAATGAGTATTCTGTCCTTTAAAAACTAGAAACATACATGCTATTAGCTATTTCAATATATTTAAGAGATTCTGAATAGGTAATATATTAAAATCATGAGTGATTTCTAATTCATATAAAAGGTCATATGAAAGTCTCTCATTTGAATTGAACATATAAATTTTACTATAAAAGAAAATAACGCAAGAAACTACCTTTTCGCCAATGCTTCCAGTCATCCCAACTTCTCCAGGTAGGCCTACAGGTCCCTTTTAGAAAAAAAAAAATAATGGAAATAACACATATATTGCATTATTGTTCTAGCATCCTGGTCTTAAATTACCTGTAATAATTATGGTTCTTTCGAACTCATCCTAAACTTTATCTTGGAGTGAAATTTCTCCTAGTTCATGTCCACAGCCTATGACTTCACCTCAGAATTAATTTATTCGGTCAATCAACAAGTATAAGTGTCTAATACATGGTAGGCCCTATGCTGGTAGGCAATGGTTTCAGATCCAAACAAAACAGGGGACTTCAGACGTTTGTCAAGGAATGGAAGTAAACTATGAGTTTATTTTGATGCCAAAAAAAGAAAAAGAAACCCATGCATAATTATTTCATGAACTTTTTAAAGATCCTTCTTGGTTTTTGTCCTTGTGGAATTTATAATCTACTGGATGTTATAAAAATCCCTGCAGTTTCATACCTGCTTGATGTGGATATATTAGTTTATGAAATCATTTCTGCAACTTCCTTCTTGAGAAGTTCATCAGTACATGAAGTGTTAGAACAGCACATGCCCACCCATTCATTCACTCACTCAACAAATATCTGGGGCCTAGTCTGCGCCAGGCACTGTGCTTGTGGCTAAGACAGATAGTCAGGGAAGGCCTGACGTCTAATA